TGAATTGCATTGAAAAAGGAATTCTTGTAAAGCCTTTGTAAAATCTAAGTTGTTTGAGATAATTAAAAACGAAATTGTAAATGGCCGCCATTTTGATTTATGAATTTGGAAAATTTTCATAATTTTGTTGTAACATTGTCTAGTTGTCATAAATGTTTGTGCAAAGTTTCAATTTCGTATGTTTTTAGAAACATACCACTTTTTAGAAAGAAATATTAAGTGACAAAACAAAATAGTGACTGTGTGAGTAACTAAGGGCTTCCGGACGGTTAAAATACGATATTTAGATATGTTTTTACCTTATAATTACTTTATGTGAGAGGACGAATAAACTGAATCATGGAGCTCTGCACACCAACACTAATGGCCTTTGAGCCCCGAGGTCTCTTCAAATTTCACAGTTTCGCTTTTTTCATTTACAAAGCTATGTCAAATATCAATAGTAATTGTCTTTGTTAATATTTTACTTAATAATTGTTATTTGGCTAAGCAATTCATGTTTATCAGCTTAACTGGTTGGTATTACATATCAGAAAATGATCAAAATGGTGATAAGTGAAGGTTATTTAATACAAAATTAGTATTTTTTAATTTACCTAAACTAATGTGATGGATGCAAGTAACACAGTCAGGTCTATTTATTATATTCCCCACTTGATTATACAATATTAGAATATGTTAATAAATGAAATAAATAATTAAACATTTATTACTCTTTTTTTAAGTTATTAATTTATTGAATAAACTTACATGTTTCGGCTCTTAGGCCACGATCACAGTTATGAACAAATAGTAAATAAATATAAATGTAAATAATAAATAAGTAAATTATCATATGATTTTGGAATTTTGTCTAGTATATAGGTTGGCTTAATTGTTGTTTTCTTTTGATTTATTACATAAGATTTTTTCATATATTATGTTTTCTTTTTGAATTTGCATTGTATTAAGTAGGCCTATGTTTTCAGGATCTTTTTTATGGTTTCTATATATGTGGAATTCTTCTTTAATGAATAATTTGGCTTTGTTTGGTATAAGAATATGTTATATTCTTAGAATGTATTTATTAAATTTATACTTTAAAATAATATTAATATATTTACTGAATGTTTTCAAAATTGAAAATTAAAATGATTTTAAGACAAACAATTCAATATCAACATTAATTTGTGAATCAATTAACCGAACGTAATTAGCTTTTATCCAAGCCATATTTAAGGCCGATGATGTATTTTAGACACATAATTATTTTAACTGCGAAATATTGTTACCTTTCAACCGTTAAGGCACAAAGCATTAGTCATACCCGTAGACTTACAGGTACAATCTCATATATTAAATGTATCTCAATTTGTCCATTTGTAATTACGTTTAACCATTGTCCATTTAGTTGTTAATTTATTTAATACAGGGAAAATCAGACATTTAATTTCCAATTATCTTATACAACATTTTTATCAAATCACTTGTATCAAAATAAATCATTTTCAAAGAATTAAAACATTAAATTTAAAGACACTTTGTATTAAAATTAAAAATTTTGGGGTTTTCTTATCATGTTTAATGTGTTTTTATCTTACTCCCAAATTATTAAGGATTTTCCTAAATACTCGGTGGAAATAGTTTTATATCATTTTTAACTACAAACACCACAATGAAAGTGTAAGTTATAGCAAGACCTTCTGAACCGCTTTCTTCCAACACAGAACTTGACAGTCAATTTGTCTAGACACAAGTTTAACAGACACGGACTCCTCGGCCTGACACTGACAGCACGTTTAAAGAGTGATTTGTCTATTGGGATAGCAATGTCAGTTTTATTTGGGTATATATGTAGAAAATATGGATGGATAAACAATATATAGTTAAATTAATAACGAAACAGTAAAATAAATATTGTTAAACTAAAGATTAATAAAGGTGAGTTGTATTACGGTTAGAATAATGGGTCAATTTGTATAATACTTAAATATAATTTGTAGTACGTTAAGGTATATCTATGTCACTCTATATAATCAAAAGGAATGCATTTTTTTCGAAAGGCTACAACTAATGTTTCCCATAGGCTTCTAGACTGAACATTTTCATATTGAAATTCAGATTGATTAGATCAAATATGTAGGATATGTATTGAACTTTAATATTGTACCTTTATATTGTATTAATAATATTTTAATATTGTTTAATATTGTATTATAGTACCTTTAATATTACTTTTAATCTCACGTCAAAATATATCGTTCAATTTTGGTTTACGTAATGTTTAACTCTAGTAATAATCTGGATTCTTTACGAAATATCGAAGCAATTCTTTAAACATGCAAAGAAAGTTCCATGATAAGTACACCTTTATTTTTTAAGAGGTTGGCAGCCTCTTTTAACCTTGCATTTGCACGTCCACATAGACTAAGCGGCCGTGCGTGGATCGTTTACAGCATAGCAAGGAGTGAGCCGGTACAGTACAAAGGTGAACTGTACTGATAAATTTTAGTGGCAGTGACTAGGATCCTAACCCACGACATCGCTTCCTTGAGCCTGAAGTCCGAGACGCTACCGACTCACCATATACTGCATGTAATTGGATTTTATGTTTCCCTTAAGTTCTATTAGGCTATATTAAAAGTATTTTAGTTTGAGAAAAATTAAAAAAATTAAATTAAAATTAAAAATTGAAATTAAAATTAAATTAATTAAAAAACTAATTGCAGTTCGAGAACATTGATTCTATTTAAAAAAATACTAATCGACCTCTTATACTACGGAGTTTCCAAATAAATATTTAGAATTTTTATAGACCAAATAATGTTTTTTTATGTGATCCTACAGCATAGGATGGGCTAAGAACTGCAGAAAAGCTATTGACATAATTTGTACCTGGCCCTCAAGGACAAAAACCCTGCGATCTAAAAACTATTAGCCTTTAACTACTTCCAACCGTACATCATAAGCTATGAAAACGTTAATCTGAACTTAAACGCAAACACGCTTTATCATCCTAATTACTCACATAAATTAGTACATTACGTTAAGAACGATAAAAGTAATATTTATGTATTATTTATACAAGATAAATACAGAAATTTGATTTTGACTATGACTATGAAAAGATTCGATCACATATCATAGACTAGTCAAAGATCATTTTCAACCCCTTTAATTACCTGCGCTAAGATAAATAAGGATTCACAAAGTAATAACTTTGTGACATTTAAAGGTCCTCCAAAGTCATGTGTCACTAGGGTGGAATGAATGTCACCAATACATCTTATGAATATAAGATTGCTTGGCATGTATTTTCAAGTCCCTTTTATTTGCAAGAACCGTCGTTCTAAATGTGAACGCAATTATTCATCTTTGAAATATACTGTAGGTTGTTTTAATATAAGTTGCAGTTGTCCCTAGTACTGATACAATATACTGTACGTAAGTCCATACTTGATACACCAGAGTAAACATTGTGTTTGGATATACTTAACTATCATTTCATTAGTGTCATGCTTTTTTGTCTTTACATATTTTCAAATATTGTCCATTAAAAACCCCACGAAGACACAATCTTCTCCTGAGGGTTTGCATTCATCTAACTATCAGGACAATTTAGAACCAATAAATTCTGTGTTGTCAGTTGTGTTGTGTTCTAATCACAATAAATAATATTCACAGGATTGTATTACATATAATACCAGTAAACTGCAGTACACTGTACATTGCTTCCCTGAAATTGTATAAAATATTGTTAAAAACATTTTAGTCAACAAATCTCACATGCTTGTTGTTTAGTCTTAAATTTATAATTTATGTTTGTAACTGTTTGACCGCTGAGGCTAATATGTTAACAGTAACTTGTTGAGGTTAACTTTGGAGCCGTCGGCTGCCTGCGAGTAACACGTCACAAACATCAGTTCTAACATCGTCTTTACCACACATATGCTGTGTATCACGTATCCATGTAATTGAAATATAATTAATATATTATTTTATTCAATATTCATTCATAGTTTTATCGTACTAACAGTAGCAAACAATTAAAACATCACGAACTTTTCGTAAGAAATTCTATTCTATTATTTTACTTTTTATTCGTTTTTAAATCTACAATGATGATCATTAAATCAGTTCTCTTAAAACAACTTCGAAGACACGGCACTCACGTATCAAATGATATTTTAAATCATGAATATTCCTTAATATATTTGAATAAAAAGTCCTGAAAAACCATTTAGAAGATGAGGTAAGGCTTAAAGAGAATGACTTATAGTCGAAAACACAGCTTTGGAACGTGATGGATAATATATTTGCCTTAATGCAGCATTCTTTAAGCAAACTAATTGCCAATACGAAAGATGGGTACGTTTTTCATCTTTGGGAAAATATCCCTAGCTACATTTTATATTGTTTATATTATATTATATTTTTGATATATTATATTTTAGGCCTACTTCTTTTTCACCTAGGATAAAAAAAATCTTCATAACGCTAATTTAAATAACCGGTTTCGATACAGAACAGCATTTTTTGTATTCACTGTGTTACAATTTTGTCTTTAGTTTCCGAAATATCTACATAAATGGTTCATAGTCTACGACTGTTTTCAATATTTTCCAGTTCTTTTATAATATTTTTTTTGTAAAGTAGCTTACGTTAATTTAAAGTTCTACCCAGTTGGGTCGTATCGATTTAATTCATATTTTTTGGTAAGTCTTAATTGTTTAGGGCATTTTTAAGTATCTTTAAAAAACACAGCATATTTTTCCAAGCCAACCAACTAAAAGAAAAACTATCACGATTGTTGAGGGCAATAAATATAATAATCATTCCTTGTATAGTAATCATTCCTCAATTTTATAACTACTCTAACGCTTCAAATTTCTGCTTGATTATGATTAAACAGTATTGAATATTAAAGTCAAGTTTGATAATTTGTACAGCATTTATTTTAATATACACAAAAAAAAATTTTTTTTATTTTAACCATGCTGATACCTGATGAGTTAGTTTACCTTGGATGTTTTTTTCCTGAGAATCACTCCTGAAAACAAACAAATTATTAAAATTTACTCAGCAAATTTAAAAAATCAACAAGCAAGAATCTGGGAAAAGTTATTGATTAGGTTTATTTCAGTTGGAAATTTCTAATGAAACACGAACATAACATGTTTACCGGCTTAAAGTAAACTAATTAACCTAAATAAGTGCAGACACGATTCGTTTTGCTCTGATTCTAAAACCAATAGAGATGGTAATTTTAAAAATGGAAAATTTGTTAAAACCTCTTAAAATCTTAAATCTTTGGACCGGGTGTCCATAAATGAATATCGGGGTTTTAACTCTTTATAATATTAATTACATTAAACTTACAGTTATAAATGATATGTCACATGAAAGAGCAACTCAAACAGTTTTATATACAAGCTTACAAGTGTTCTATGTGAGCACCATTTGTCACACGGCACACATCAAGTCTATAGCTGAGTTCTTCCCAAACGTTGAGCAGTGTGTCTTCAGTAATTGTTGCAACAGCTGCTTCAATCCTGTTTCGTAATTCATGGAGGTCAGCTGGTAATGGAGGCACATACACACGATCCTTGATGAAACCCCAAAGGTAGAAATCGCATGGCGTTAGGTCGGGTGAACGTGGAGGCCACGCATAGCAAGCTCTGTCATTGGGTCCCTTGCGGCCAATCCAGCGGTCGGGTAAAGTTACGTTCAACCAACCGCGTACTTCGTTATGCCAGTGAGGTGGCGCGCCATCTTGCTGGAAAATGAAATTCTCTGGTTCATATTGTTCCAATTGAGGGAAGAGCCATTGCTCTAGTGTATCAAGGTAAGAAGTACCAGTAACAGTAGCTTCACCAAAAAAGAAAGGTCCGTAAACTTTCCGCCGGGATACGGCACAAAAAACATTGATTTTAGGGGAGTCTCGTTGCACTTGTACGACCTCATGAGGATTTTTTGAGCCCCATATCCGCACATTATGAGTGTTAACATGTCCACTGAGGTGAAAGGTCGATTCATCACTGAAAACAACATGATCTAGAAAATCTTCATCGTCATTTAACAGCAATACGTTAGCGAAGTTGGCACGTAAACCATGGTCTGCAGGCTTTAGAGCCTGTAACAACTGTAAACGATAAGGACGTAGTTGCAATCGTTTCCTTAAAACTTTCCAAACAGTCGACTTAGCAATTTCTAATTCACGACTAGCCTTCCGAACTGATTTCTTTGGGCTACGAGTGAACGACTCTCTCACTCGCTCAACATCCTCTTCGCTAACTCTTGGTCGTCCCGTGCTCTTCCCTTTACAAAGGCAGCCTGTATCTTCAAACTGATGAAACCATCTACGGATGTTATTGTCACTTGGAGGATCACACCCGAACTTAATGCGGAACGCACGTTGCACAGTAACTACAGATTCAGTCTTTGCAAACTGCAAAACACAAAACGCTTTCTGTTCACTAGTCGCCATCTTTGCTACTACCGCTTTCTAGCGGATCGCGGTGTAAACATTTCACGCGCATGCGCACTGGTGCTAACGAATAAAACTGTTTGAGTTGCTCTTTCATGTGACATATCATTTATAACTGTAAGTTTAATGTAATTAATATTATAAAGCGTTAAAACCCCGATATTCATTTATGGACACATTGTTAAAATATCAGCTCTAAAATCATTTAAACCTTTTGCAGCTCTTAAAATTGTATTATTAAACGCATGTGACATATTATTGAGCGGAGCGAGCGAAGCGAGCGAAGCGAGCGAAGCTCTTATACTACACTCCTGCTTTTTTATTACAAATACTCCTCCTGAACGGCTGAAGCGATCTACATGAAATTTAACACAGTTATAGTAACCAACCATGGGAAGGTATAAATCTGAAACGGTACAAATCGGACCACAGGACTTTTCTCTACATGAATGCAAACTTTTGGAAATTTAACATGGGCCTTATGGGTTAATTGGTCGCCATGTCATTATTTGCGAGTAAACACTAAAAAGTAAACAAGAGCCTCAACATTAGTCAACAAATCTACCACATGATAAATACAGTACAAAAGAAAAAATTGGATAATACTAAAGAGCATATTATAGTATATTGTATGTAATACGAAATGATTAACAATCAGTTCTATATTGAGTGATTAAACTCCACGCCGTTTATATTTAATTGTAAAATGGTTCTGTTCTTTTTAACAACAATGAATTAGGCCTAAGTTTATGTTGCTTGGAGAAGGAGAAGATAAAACGAGGTCATTAAAAAAACACTACAACATAATTATACCAACAAAAATCACACCGCCCTTGATTTGCAAGAAACTTTGTAAAAAATGTTCTTGTAGCTAAAAATACAAAATCGTTTTACGAAATGAAATCACAACCACGTGGTTTACAGGTAAGGTTTAAGACTAAATGGTGTAACTTAGACAATAAAATAGTTGTATTGATAAATTTTATTGCACAATAGGGAAATTTTGAAAGTGGTTGACGACAATTTCTTACTTTTAACTGCTAAAATAAAACTAGACCTAAGTTATAGGCCTATACTAAGTGAGGCTAACCCCAATCCCTCACAACAATAATACTGGTAAACAGTTATTGAGGTAATTGAATTGGTGAGTTTTATGAATGTTCAATGCAAATAAGTCTTCTGTACAAATAAATGATTCTTTTTTTAATAATGAAGAAAGAAGACATTGAAAAAAAATAAAGAAAAGCAAATTCTACATACAATGGGTAATAATAATATAATAATAATCGTTATTGCCTTTTAATAATACAGGTATTGCTCAGGCCTACCATGATTCATTTGCAGTATCGAAATTATTGAGCGGAGTGAAGCGAAGCTCTTACTGCCCTATTAGCCGTGAGCAACATGTGGCGCAGCTAGTGGAGCCGCCGGTGGTGACGCCGGTGACCCACAGCGTTTGAAACCTGGACACTAGTCGCGCAACACATTCGTAGCTCGCTCAAACAGCGAAATTCACCACAACATTCTCGTGTCAAACATGTTCGTTGAGTGACTGCATCCACAATTTGCACGTCACTATTACCACTAGACATTGTTTATCTAAACTAAAGACAACTAAAAACGCTAATGACACAAAACGGAAAGAATACACTGTTAAAAAGGTCACTGGTAAACAAAGTGAACCGAAGTCACTAATGAATATAACAGCAATATGGCGAGGCACGTCTCAATCGACTCAAACCACGATGTAGACTGTGTGACAGGCTCCGTTTTCACGTTAATAACGCATGCGAGCGCAGTCAGTGGCGTCGCATGTTGCCCACGGCTAATAGGCTCCATATACTGCAATGCCCCCCGACTGCCTGAACACTAAAACGGTCGCGACACATGTTGCCGGGCAAAATCACTCCCGGCAACACCTCGGGCAGCTTTTTCGGCGGCGCCACCGGTCTCCCCGCGGCTAATAGGCACCATTTGACTCCATGCCCCTCTACACGTCCGACACCGGCGGCTCCACTAGCTGCGCCACATGTTGCTCACGGCTAATAGGGGCCTTATACTACACTCACTGCCTTTGTTTTACAAATACAGGTCAGGCTCCACCTGACAGGCTTAAGCGATCTGCAGGAAATTTGGCACAGTCATGTAACCAACCATATGGGAAGGTATAAATCTGAAATGGTAATATTCGGACCACAGGACTTAAACCAATAATAAGGGTTACCGGAATTAGGCTGATGCACCATATTGCGTTTGGAATCTGTAAATAACTTACAGCATTTTATGTGAGCAAGACGTGCAATTAATGTAGACTTTGAATATCTATCTGATTGGAAATGTTCAATTCCTATTTGCAGTCTACAAATAGGAATTCCACTAATGTGAACCAAATATAACACAATTCGTTGACTTGAACCCGACGTATCATTGACTTTGAATACTGCACATAGACATCCCATATAAGTGAAGCAGAAGTAGGCCTAAGCCTACCATTGACTTCGGATACTGCAATTAGGCATTTTATTTATGTGAACAAAATAAATGGACCATTGATTTATTGAGGATACTGCAAGTAGACTATTCATTTACATGTACCATTGGGTTTGGATACTACAAGTAAACAATCCGTGTACGTGAACCATATGTACTATTGACTTTAGAATCTGTAAATAGGCATTCCATTTATGCGAACCAAATATATCATTGGCATTGGATACTGCAAGTAGACATTTAATTTATGAGAACCAGATGAAACATAGAATACGGTTCCTGCAAGTAGACGATTCATTCACTTAATCCTGACTTATGATTGACTTTGGATACCTCTGCAAATAGGCATTCTATTTAAAATGCAAAAAAAATCATTGATATTGAATATGCTGGCTCCGCTCAATATTGCAAGCAGACAACTGCATTGTACACCTAGTAATAAAACTAATTAACTAATTTTAACTGTTATTATATCGAATTCGAATGTAGTAAAGTTTTTGTTGTTATAAAATAATTCATTAAATGACAAAGGATTTTTCTATTAAATATTAACTAGTAGAGCCAAATGCTCTCTTCTCATTTTTAGAAGGCAATTTGGTAAGTTAGAAAATTATGTTGCACTAAAGAGATAATATATTTAGACGATCTGTTTAATTTGTTCTTTAATAGCGTACTTAAATCTCAAATGAAATTGAATGTGATTGTTGTTGGTCTCACATGAGACCATGGGGCCCTGGAATCAGTATATCGTTTAAAGTTGGGGTTTCCTAGGCGCGGAAGCGGAGAGAGGAACGCGGAGAGCGGACTCCACTTGTCTTAGGTAATTTAATGTTACTGTTTTGGTAGAAGCGGAGCGGAATGCCATGTTAATTAGTTTTCCGCTCTCCGCGTTCCTCTCTCCGCTCTCCGCTTCCGCGCCTAGGAAAACCCAGCTTAACACAATTAATAAGTGGTTGGCGATATTTGAACCTGGAACTGCAGGACCAAAGTTCTAGCCTCCCACAGTACATACTACTTCAAATTAAATACGGCATTATTTCTTATTAGTCGACATTTTCATACGATAGAGTTAT